ATATAAACTAGTTCACAGTACTTAGCTCTGTTTATTTAACTTGTATACGTATTTAAGGCATTTATGTTTATTATTTTGAAAACAAAAACTGTTCTTTCATGAATTTACGACGCACCCACCTCTTAGAAGTGATAATACGTTTATTGAACGCCGGTGCATATAAACCTGTTTTTCAGGACCAAAATGCATGTTTAACCTTTTACCCAAAGAAAAGCCTACACACCTTTATTAAAAAGAATACTTTCAAGAATTTTGAACGATGTTTACGAAAAAAACGACTAAAGGAACGAATATTTTAGTATCGAGCGGACAGACTGTGTAACCGTTAGGGGTTTGTTTGCACCGAGAAATTGTTCCCGTTTTGTTTAACAACTACCTTAATTGTAGTGCTCATGCGTCAGTTATCCGGAACTAAAGCCCGTGTGTTTGACGTGGGCATATTGGCGTTAAACAGTGGCGGTAGACAAGGCGGTGTTTCCGTTTCACAACTCAATATCTGTGTTACTATTCTGGTTGAAGATGACGGATCGGGCCGGGATAGATTGATGATGCTACTGAAGTTCATCTGTCCACGACTACACGGATGATGGCTACAGCAGCTCGAAGACGCCAAAGCAACGATGCACTTTTCCACAATGTACCGTGCTTACCTCAATTGAGGTAACGCGGATCGCGTTTTTCACCGAGCCTGTTTCTATTCCAGTTATATGGCAGATGTCCGTGTCTTGATCAGACAGTCCAGGGATCAACATCATGAGCATCGTTCCACGTAATCCCGTTAGTCGCTTCTTCGGACAAGCGTTGGTTGCTGAAGACCCATTATCCCAGATTTTCACGGGTTTATTTTTCACAAAGTCAGCGTTTAAAACGGTTTGAAGCTAATTCGATAAGGATTCACCCTGATTAAGTTTCTAGGTTTGCCAGCACCGTCTCTCTGCTCTGTGTAAACGTGTACGACCTGCATCACTTCGGGATTTCCTCCCCCATTAACCAGACACGCCTTTCTATAACTGAAATGCTGTTCAAAGTGGCGGTTAACAAACTCACTCACTTCTTTTTAAGCCCTTCTGTTTGGTACAAGTGTAGCAGTTTCACCTGGGAGGGAGGGAGTTTTAGTTTTACGCCGCTTTTAGCAATATTCAAGCACAATCACGGCGACAGATTATACAAATACTTATGATATGATGTATGTTGTTCCCAGTTGGCATCTTCCATGAGAGCGGAAGCTCGGAGGTTTGATGCCTGGCAATGTCATAATAAAAATGGTATTTGTTGTTACCCTGCCTGTGCAATCAGTTAAACAGGCTCAAATTAGGACTGGTTGGCATGGAAACCATATACCGTGTCAGAGTGAGTGAGTGAGTGTGTTGGGTTTTAGGCTGCTTTTAGCAATATTACAGCAATATCACTGCGGGTGAACGCCAGAAATGGGCTTCACACATTGTACCCATGTGGGGAATCGAACCCGCCGGGCCTTCGGAGTGACGAGCGAACGTTTTAACCACTAGGCTACCCCACCGCCACAGACAGACACACATACATAACACTCACGCAGGCACGTCCTTATATTAGTGCAATAATATGACCTCACCTCACCTCACCTCACCCCAGTTAAAGTACACAGGACGCTAGGTTCCCTATCGTCCCTCCACCCGCACAATAATATCACTAGGTCCTTCAAACGACGGCATCAAAAGAGGAAACGTCTTCACTTGAATACGATGACTGACTGACCGGTGGACAGATGAGCAAGTCGGACGAACCTCTTTCTTTGAAATAGTCCCCAGCCGTCGCAACAACGAGAATACTGTAATTGCCTCGGAGCAGGTGAACAAACAAATTCCGTTTTTTGTTGTTGCTGAGAAATTGAACCATCGGCGAGCATGAACGTACAGAGGTTGAAAGTTGAGGATAAGTATGTTACGTATGTTTGTTTGAACAGCGACAGTAGCAAAGGGGATGCCATAGCTTCCTCCACAGCTGTCTCCCTCCCGAGATAGAGAGGATGAATGGGGTTTACACAGAAGTCCGAAATACACGCAGTTCACACGACCTGTAACATGAACGGTGAGATCGGGAGCCGGCAACCACGCGCCTATATACTGAAGGTCAAAAGTTACGGGACTACGTATGTTATCAATGCGATATTCTAAGCGGAAGAAAACGTAGGGTTGAAAAATAAGTTTGGACACATTCTTTACCAAACGAAAATGTTCAGAAATACAGATCCAACAAATAGTTTTTGTTGTATAGCATGAAGTAAACGCTGCTTCCGATCTCACCGTGAACATGCGATTGAGAATCACGACTGAATAGTGATGATACCATGTGTTCAACAAGGGGCGTGTACCCGGCCCCCTACGGTGCCCTCGTCACAAACACATGCAAAGGCAAAACAGTAAATTCAATTTGACGCACATCGGTCGATCATGTTGATATCGGAAAGGTACTTCAAACACGGCAGATTGATACTTTGAGACTACAGCCTAAGTAACTGGCAAATGTTAAGACGAAGGATTAAGCTCTCCTCTATCCGCACCCTTAGATATGCACAAACGCTTTTGGGCTCCTTAAAAATATCATTTACTTTTGCTCAGGTTCCCAAAGTACACACTTGTATGCATTTGACAACATTTTGAAGTAATGCTTCAAAGATATGAATGCTTCATCTATGCTTCCATTGTATTAAATACAGGCAACACATGATTCCAATACCAAGTGTATGGTATCTGCCAAATGCGACTTTTCTCCCTCACCAAACTGTGACGCCATAATACAACTGGCATACCGTTAAAGGTGGCGATCACTCAAGACTCGCTCTCTCAATAAATATTGTATTATAAATTACTTTTTGTGAAACTCTTCAGGTATTGCTCGGTTGTATTTACATTACATAGAAAGGAAATGCATCAGTGTTTAAATTACTTTCTGAACGGAGGAAACTAGCTAACTCTTAAACACATACAGTTCCAATTCAATTAAGTATTAAGAAGAGTAGACGTACAGTTTAGCTATGATGGTCCAAATAGTTGCAGCGTGAATGCAACTTGTCTGGCGTGTACCTTGTAAACCCGACTCTTACTTGTCACCCTGCTGATTAATGTGCCATACAGTCCCTGAAACAATTATATCCATGAAAGCCCTAGTCAGACACTCTGTACTGACCACCCACTGCAGGTGGGTTACAGAACTATTGTTTCCAGTTAACCCATTGACTCACACCATATGGTTAAATACGGTAATTTGCGGATTGTGCAGTTTTTCATTTTAAAAAGAATCATTTTCAAAATAAATACGAGCGCATCTCCATCTTTATGTCAAACCACGTTTTTATTGTTCAAATGTTTTATTGTTCAGTCTGTTTCAACATTCCTTAGCGGTGAACCGAAAACCATATGCCCCAAGAAAGGAGGGACGAGGAGAAGATTAAACGAGATGGTTTTGTCCGGAACGAAACAAGTCTAAGGAAAAGTGTCAGATGAATATAGTGTGTATAGACATACTGACATGTTTTGAAATATGATGATTTGATTCTAAAATGAATATGTTTATGGTATGTGTTACATTTTATGCGTCATTAAGATCACCTTGTTCAAAGTTTCGTTCAGTGTTTAAAGGCAAGAAAATACTTAGAAGTGACTGACGTTTGAAGTGATGCTTCTCATAGTTGGCCATGCATATACGGAACTAGTTGGCGAAATATGGTTGGTATTTAACGCCATCTGTCGGGGTTCATTTTTAACGGGTTTTTTTTTCGTGTGTGGAATTATTTCGTTCCGAATGGATGTGACCTTGTGCTGGTATGGTTAAATGTCGGACTGAATTCGTTTTAAATCTTACAATTATTGGTGCCAGTTTAATATATTCCCAAATTCAGTTCCATTCCCTGCTAATATGGTATATTTCTGTGACTTGGTTTGGTTCAACAATGTTTTTAACCAAAGTCTAGCTATACCGCGAAAGTGAGTGAGTGAGTGAGGCTTTGTCGAAATATTCCAGCAAATATATCACGTCGGGGACACCAGAAGTGAATTTGCACATATGTGAGTAATCGAATCCTGGCCCTCGGTGTGGAACCTCTGAACCTTTATCCAGGCCGTCATGACACCAACATTGGTTGCACGGACCTTTCCTTGGAGTTGAACCCATGTCTTCTAGCCAGCGCTTTAACCACGAGGCTACCTTACTGCGCAGTTAAGATTCCAGACACAAATTTCATAAAGATGGATATATTTAGCAAACATGTGTTTCTCTAACAAAAATACCACCATTTAATGTCTATGCCAGTTTTTACTTTAATGCACTACTTGCACTCAAACTGGACTTTTCGCTGATATAGAGTGAGTGAGTTGTTTTTGTACATTATTTCATTTATATCAGACTATGACAGACCAGTGTGTGATGCCAGACTCAGATGTTTACCATTTTTGTGGAACCTGCAGGTAAAACAAGAGAAAAATCAGAGAAAGTCTGGTATTCGTACCAACGATCAAAGGGTTGTGGAATGCCTCAGGGACGTACATAACGCAGGCCTAGAGAATTGCGGCGCCTTAAACGATACTCCCAACGAAACAGCAAAAGTTCCTCGAGAAGGCGCAACAGTAAAATGTATGTGAATACATTCTATATATACACAAAGGCAGTGCGGTATAGCGTGTCATTTCTACATATTCCGAAAGGCCTTGCACTGATGCCAGTGAAAAGGGGATAGAGTCCATATGCAAATGAGTGCCATCAACCAAATTAGCTGATCGCATTTAGCACTTACTTATAAAAGCAAATGGTTAAATCAGCAGGTTAAAATGTTATAAAACATTTACACTCAGTCGACTCTATATACAACCAAATGACATTTTCTGTAAAGCTTCGAAAGGACTGGATGAATACTACCTTCTAGGTTACTATTTTTGGGTTGCTACCATTTGGGGTACTACCTTCTGGGTTACTTCTTCTGGGTTACTACCTTCTGGGTTACTTCTTCTGGGTTACTACCTTCTGGGTTACTTCTTCTGGGTTACTGCCTTCTGGGTTACTTCTTCTGGGTTACTACCTTCTGGTTTACTTCCTTCTGGGTCACTATCCTCTAAGTTACTACCTTCTGGTTTACTTCCTTTTGGGTCACTATCCTCTAGGTAACTACCTTCTGGGTTACTACGATTTGGGTCACTACCTTCTGGGTTACTTCTTCTGGGTCACTACCTTCTGGGTTACTACCTCCTGGGTTAATACCTTACCCACTTACCATCTGGGTCACTATCTTTTGGGTTACTACCTTCTGGGTTAATACCTTCTGATTTACTACCTCCTGGGTTACTACTTCTAGATCACTACCTTCTGGTTTACTACTTCTGAGTTACTATCTACTAGGTTACTACCTTCTGTGTTACTACTTCCGGGTTACTACCTCCTTGGTTTATACTTCTGAGTTACTAGCTTCTGAGTCACTACCTTCTGGGTCATTACCATCTGGGTCACTACCTTCCGGGTTACTACCTTCTGGGTCACTACCATCTGAGTCACTACCTTCTGGGTCACTACCTTCTGGGTCACTACCTTCTGGGTCACTACTTTCTGGGTCACTACCTTCTGGGTCACTACTTTCTGGGTCACTACCTTCAGGGTTACTACCTTCTGGGTTACTACTTCCGGGTTACTACCTCCTGGGTTAATACTTCTGAGTTACTAGCTTCTGGGTTACTGCCTTCTAGGTAAATACCTTACTCACTACCATCTGGGTCACTACCTTCTGGGTTACTACCTTCTGGGTCACTACCTTCTGAGTCACTACCTTCTGGGTTACTACTCCCGGGTTACTATCTTCTGGGTCACTACCTTCAGGGTCACTACCTTCTGGGTTACTACTTTCTGGGACACTACCTTGTGGATCACTACCTTGTGGGTCACTACTTTCTGGGTTACTACATTCTGGGTTACTACTTCCGGTTACTACCTTCTGGGTCACTACTTTCTGGGTCATTACCTTCAGGGTTACTTCCTTCTGGGTCACTACCTTCTAGGTCACTACTTTCTGGGTCACTACCTTCTGGGTTACTATCTTCTAGGTTACTACTTCCGGGATACTACCTCCTGGGTTAATACTTCTGAGTTACTAGCTTCTGGGTTACTACCTTCTGGGTAAATACCTTACTCACTACCATCTGGGTCACTATCTTTTGGGTTACTACTTCTGGTTACTACCTTCTGGGTTACTACCTTCTGGGTTACTACCTTCTGGGTTACTACTTCTAGATCACTACCTTCTGGGTTACTACTTCTGAGTTACTACCTACTAGGTTACTACCTTCTGGGTTACTACTTCCGGGTTACTATCTTCAGGGTCACTATGTTCAGGGTTACTACCTTCTGGGTCACTACCTTCTGGGTTACTTCTTTCTGGGTTACTACCTTGTGCGTCACTACCTTGTGTGTCACTACTTTCAAGGTTACTACCTTCTGTGTTACTGCTTCCGGGTTACTACCTTCTGGATCACTACTTTCTAGGTCACTACCTTCTTGATAACTACCTTCTGGGTCACTACCTTGTGGGTCACTACTTTCTGGGTTACTACCTTCTGGGTTACTACTCCCGGGTTACTAACTTCTGGGTCACTACCTTCTGGGTCACTACCTTCAGGGTCACTACCTTCTGGGTTACTACTTTCTGGGTCACTACCTTCTGGGTCACTACCTTGTGGGTCACTACTTTCAGGGTTACTACCTTCTGGGTTACTACTTCCGGGTTACTACCTTCTGGGTCACTTCCTTCTGGGTCACTTCCTTCAGGGTTACTTCCTTCTGGGTCACTACCTTCTAGGTCACTACTTTCTGGGTCACCACTCTGGGTCACTAGTTTCTGTCACTACTACTTCTGGGCTACTTCCTTCAGTGTCACTACATTCTAGGTCACTACTTTCTGGTTCACTACTTTTGGGTTACCACTTTCTGGGTTAATACCTTCTGGGTTACTACCTTGTTGGTCATTACTTTCTGGGTCACTACTTTCTGGGTTACTAGTTTCTGGGTCACTACCTTCTTGATCACTACCTTCAGGGTCACTTCTTTATGGGTAACTACCTTCTGGGTCACTACCTTCTCTCTCACTACCATCTTGGTCACCACCATCTGGGTCACTACCTTCTGGGTCACTACTTCATGGGTTACTACCTTCAGGGTCACTACCTTATGGGTAACTACCTTCTGGGTCACTACCTTCTGGGTTAATACCTTCCGCGTTACTACCTTCTGGGTTACTACTTCCGGGTTACTACCTTCTGAGTCACTACCTTCTGGGTCACTACCTTCTGGGTAACTGCCTTCTGGGTCACTACCTTCAGGTCTACACTTCCTTCTGGATCACTCACTACCTTCTGGGTCACTACCTTGTGGGCAACTACCTTCTGTGGTCACTCACCTTCGGGGTCACTACCTTCTTGGTCACTACCTTCTGGTCACTGGGTCACTACCTTCTGGGTCACTACCTTCTGGGTCACTCACCATCAGGGTCACTACCTTCTGGGTCACTACCTTCTGGTCACTACCTTCTGGGTCACTACCTTCTGGGTCACTACCTTCTGGGTCACTACTCTTCTGGGTCACTACCTTCTGGGTCACTACCTTCTTGGTCACTACCTTCTGGGTCACTACCTTCTGGGTCACTACCTTTCTGGGTCACTACCTTCTGGGTCACTACCTTCTGGGTCACTACCTTCTGGGTCACTACCTTCTGGGTCACTACCTGGGTTGTGGGTCACTACCTTCTCTGGTCACTACCTTCTGGGTCACTACCATCTGGGTCACTACCTTGTGGTCACTACCTTCTGGGTCACTACCTTCTGGGTCACTACTTTCTGGGTCACTACCTATCGGGGTCACTACCTTCTTGGTCACTACCATCTGGGTCACTACCTTGTGGGTCACTACCTTCTGGGTCACTACTTTCTGGGTTTCTACCTTCTGGGTTACTACCTTCTGGGTTACTACCTTCTGGGTTACTACCTTCTGGGTCACTACCACCGGGGGCACTACCTTCTTGGTCACTACCTTGTGGGTCACTACCTTCTGGGTCACTACCTTCTGAGTCACTACCTTCAGGGTTACTCCCTTCTGGGTCACTACCTTGTGGGTCACAACCTTCTGGGTCACTACCTTCTGGGTCACTACCTTCAGGGTCACCACCTTCTGGGTCACTACCTTCTGGGTCACTACCTTCGGGGTCACTACCATCGGTAGGTCACCTTCTTGGTCACTACCTTGTGGGTCACTACCATCTGGGTCACTACCTTCTGGGTCACTACCTTCAGGGTCACTACCTTCTGGGTCACTACCTTCTGGGTCACTACCTTCTGGGTCACTACCTTCTGGGTCACTACCTTCTGGGTCACTACCTTCTGGGTCACTACCTTCTGGGTCACTACCATCGGGGGCACTACCTTCTTGGTCACTACCTTCTGGGTCACTACCATCTGGGTCACTACCTTGTGGGTCACTACCTTCTGGGTCACTACTTTCTGGTCTCTGTTACCTGTTACTACCTTTCACTACCTTCTGGGTCACTACCTTCAGGGGTCACTACCTTCTTGGTCACTCACCTTCTGGGTCACTACCATCTGGGTCACTACCTTGTGGGTCACTACCTTCTGAGTCACTACCTTCTGGGTCACCCCACTCACCACCTTCTGGGTCACTACCTTCTGGGTCACAACCTTCTGGGTTCACTACCTTCAGGGTCACTACCTTCTGGGTCACCACCTTCTGGGTTACTCCCTTCTGGGTCACTACCATCGGTGGCACTACCTTCTTGGTCACTACCTTCTGGGTCACTACCATCTGGGTCACTACCTTGTGGGTCGCTACCTTCAGGGTCACTACCTTCTGGGTTACTCCCTTCTGGGTCACTTCTGGGGCACTACCTGGGTCACACTACCTTCTGGGTCACTCACCTACCATCTGGGTCACTACCATCTTGGTCACTACTTCTGGTCACTACCTTCTGGGTCACTACACCTTCTGGGTCACTACCTTCTGGGGTCACTACTTTCTGGGTCACTCACCTTCTGGGTCACTACCTTCTGGGTCACTACCTTCTGGGTCACTACCTTCAGGGTCACTACCTTCTGGGTCACTACCTTCTGGGTCACTACCTTCTTGGTCACTACCTTCTGGGTCACTACCTTCTGGGTCACTACCTTCTGGGTCACTACCATCTGGGTCACTACCTTCAGGGTCACTACCTTCTGGGTCACTACCATCTGGGTCACTACCTTCAGGGTCACTACCTTCCTTCAGTCACTACTTCTTCTGGTCACTACCTTCTGGGTCACTACCTTCAGTGTCACTACCTTCTTTGTCACTACCTTCTTGGTCGCTACCATCTGGGTCACTACCTTCTCGGTTACTACCTTGTGGGTCACTACTTTCTGGGTCACTACCATCGGGGGCACTACTTTCTTGGTCACTACCTTCTGGGTCACTACCATCTAGGTCACTACCTTGTGAATCACTACCTTCTGAGTCACTACCTTCTGGGCACTACCCTCTAGGTCACTACCTTATGAGTCACTACCTTGTGGGTCACTACCATCTGGGTCACTACCTTGTGGGTCACTACATTCTGAGTCACTACTTTCTGGGTTTCTACCTTCTGGGTTACTACCTTCTGGGTCACTAGCTTCTGGGTTACTACCTTCTGTGTCACTACGATCGGGGCACTACCTTCTTGGTCACTACCTTGTGAGTCACTACCATCTGGGTCACTACCTTGTGGGTCACTACCTTCTGAGTCACTACCTTGAGGGTTACTCCCTTCTGGGTCACTACCTTGTTGGTCACAACCTTCTGGGTCACAACCTTCAGGGTCACTACCTTCTGGGTTACTACCTTCTGGGTCACTACCATCTGGGTCACTACCTTGTGGGTCGCTACCTTCTGAGTCACTACTTTCTGGGTTACTACTTTCTAGGTTACTACCTTCTGGGTCACTAGCTTCTGGGCTACTACCTTCAAGGTTACTACCTGGTGACATCATTGGAAAGTTACCTAAACTGCGTTAACAGCAGTGGATGATTTGGGTTCAACGTTATTTTGAACGGTATCATTTTTGCTTAATGTTGGCTAAAAAAGTAAAGGTGGCTTTAAAGAAACCGAAACCCGAAATTGTTATTGGATAGTGATGTCTTTGATACAGTTACAGGTGTGTTTTGGACCTTAAGTTGGAGTGTTTAGAGGGCTGTTTTTAATCTGGCAGCGTTTGTAATGTTTTGGCCAAATCCAGTTTTCCCTTTTCATTTTCTTTAGTCTGGTAGTTTATTATCAAACACCACTTAAAACCAACGAGCCTACACACCAAAAATCAAAATCGTGGGAATCTGAAATTCGAACCTAAGATAAACGTATCCTGACACGACTAAGGGAGTTAACTCCACAAAGTCAAGTATCGCAAATGGAACCACACGCGCCTTTCACCAGTTGAACCAACACCAGATCAAACAGAAACAGTAATTCTGCACTGGAATAACGGCCAATTTGTAAATATTTTCCAGTGTATAGAATAAGGAGACGTGTTTAAAATAGAATTAAAGTAAACCCATCGCTGTTCGCAATATGCCTTTGTTATCATTCGTAGATAAAACAGAATGTGACCTTATTATAATCTGTCACTGTTGATTCAATGCACCTGTAAATGTTAATTTTAGTTTTTAAATGGCTGATGTTGAGTAAATTTAGACTCCACTAACAACTATTTAAAGGCGCACTGGGTATTGTTCAAAAAGAAAAGTGAGTGTAATTAAACGGGAGTTCCTCCTTCATAAACAGAATGGACGAATGTTTTCTGGCAGAGTCCATATTGCCTAAACCATTACCAGATGCCTTGCTATTTCCCTTTGTGTGTACGTACTCAGATAGTATGAAAATGTCACTTCCCTTAAGTCGACCCGAGTCTGACTATGACGTCACAAAATGTGCACGTGCAGTACATACCTCGCGTTGTTTCCGGGGCTTGCGTATCAGTATTCAACGCTCAGTATATTTTGAATGTCATATTTATCGTCAAGCTTATATACAGCACATTTTTTTCACCAAATTGCTTTCCCGATGCGTCTTTCTTAACATTTTGTTGTGTTTTTGCCCGAGATTCAGTTCACGGCCTTTTCTCCTTGGCCTAAGTGAAACTAGTTGTCCATCTGGTAGCCGTAACAGATAGAGCCTTCAGCAGGAACAGCTGGGTCGAATACAGCTGGGTTCATCGAGACGACTTATGACATTTTCACCCATATCTCATTTTGTCTTTGCCTACACGAGGGCATCTACATGGCGTTGATGCTCTTTGATGTCATAAACATTAACGCAATGTTGTACAAAATAATGTAAAATTAACGAAATTCGATGTTATTTCCATAATTCCAACTAAATGGCACATCAATAATTAGTTTACCTGTAACCTGTATGTATTCATGGTATTTTCCTAGCAACGCATTATGCTAACATGAAGCACATGCCTTCCAGACAACTTTTGTCATATACTATGGAAGAATATCATTGTCTAACGACCTCTGCGGAATCTAAACCGAGGCTTTCTTTCTTATCAAAATGTTAAACTTTGTTTTCTATTGCCCAAGAACTTCAGCACCAACTGTAAAAGCATATATCAAAGGGTATGATAATTGTATGTGGATCGCAAACAGATTAGCGATATTCGCAGAGGACATCCAACGATTCGTGTGCTTTTTAGCTTACCCTACACATATGAACATTATGCATCATTAAACTGGAAAACATATTCCCACTAGATCCATTAAGCTGAGACTTGCAATCAGGTTCCTGGTGATTATTCAACCCCAGTTATTTATGAAGGTCACATTTCAATGCCCAACCTACATGATGTGGTTCAGAGTGAGTGAGTATGCTTTATACTGCGCTTTTAGCATTATTCCAGCAATGTCACGACAGGGGACACCAGAAACGGGCTTCACACGTTGTACCCAAGTGGGGAATCGAACCCGGGTCTTCGGCGTGACGAGCCAACGCCTTAGCCACAATCTCATGATTTTAGGGGCGGAATTATAGCACAGGCTATTGAGTTTAAGCTAGGTTTAAGACAGTGTTATGCCATAATGTGCAAAACGTTCCTTTCATTCACAACGAGCAGGATTAAGACGAACAGCCCCTTTAAAAACAGCACATATGGTGCTGAGTCAGTCTATTTTCTCAAGTACATGCATGAGTCAAACGGGTGCTCCTTGTCTTCACCTTCCTGCGTACATGTTGTAACATAACTGTTTCGTGTTTGTGGATACGGACCATAACTTTTGTGACCATTCATGCCATTTCTTGCAGGTTGGGGAATGGTGACAATTGGGATCGCATATACGCTATGCAAACTGGTACAGATTGGCAGTCAAGATCTAGGTGATTTAAGAACTGTCGTATTGCTGGAGGTATCTCCTGCATACTTGAAACAGTCATGAATTGTTGGATTGAACATGGCGATACTATTTAGCAGTTAGGAGACGAGTACAAGGACTGGATCATTAGATTCAATGATCTTAATTCAAATTGACTGGCAGTCGGGATGAGCCAAACTTTTCTTTTAAAATATTTACCAGAGTGAGTTGTGTTGTGTGCCGTTTTGAGCATTACTTCAGTTGTTTTAGAGCATGTCAGGCTTATAAAGACGTTACAGGCGATGCAGGCCTCTTGAAGCACGTCGACGAAACCCAAGAGCACGGGTATAGTGCTGCTAAACCAAGCATAAATCAGGTGTCATATGGGGCTCGAACCAGCGCAAAAGGACGCAGCTACGCGTGAATTGCGCCGTCTGAAACCACTGACAACCTCTGCAGATTATATTTATCACAACGAATTAATAGAAAACAATTTATTTAGTAATTACTTCCGTAATAGATATCGATGACCTTCCTACTAACTCGGGTTAAAAGTGAACCATTTCAGGAACGTAGAAAAAAATATTTACATCCGACGATCGCTACTACAAATAACAATTAATAAAAGCGACAAAAACGTGTTCGGAATTATAAGAATACTGAAAGCAAAGTTCGTTGTGCGATTCTGGCTATATCAAGCTTCGTTGAGGCCATGAATGACAACATTTAGCAAGGGTCGTATGACGTTGTTTGAAATTTCCGAAGAAAGACCACCCTCGATGGCATCTCAGAAGGCTCGGGACGAAGGAATATTTCTCGGCTCAAAGGAAATGACAACTAAATTTATTGCAAAGTTGGAGGCATCCCTCTGTTTTACATTTTGGAACTGATTCCACCAGATTAGAAAATTGACGGAATTTTGTTTTATGCCGTGTTTAGCACTGCGGGGACACCTGACTGTAACGACGTGTTACTTATCGAAATGGGAGGGTGCTAATTGAAGCGGCGCGGCTACACGGTGGCTTTCCGTCCCTCCCAGTCTACCTGACACTGTAACAGTGGTACATGTCACCTGTAATTAACCAAGTTGATCTACACTGCCAGTTCTTGTTATCTTGCGTGTCACAGCATTCTCAAACGTTGCGTGCTTGGCGACAAACCTCCCACAAAATGTCAAACATTGCAATAAAAACAACCGCTTACTTGACTTTTCCACCCGAGCAGAAAACAATAGGGAGGGGTTAGCGTTTAGTCGATGAGGGGCAGGGATAGAGGACACCTGGGATTACACCACCGGAACACCCAGGGGTGAGATCACGTGATGATAATAGCCTCTTTTTGGAAACAGTCTTGCAGAACAGTCTCGCCTGGGCGCCTTCGGTTGGAAGATCCCTGACAAGGCCCGGCTCGTGAAACTAGTGCACCCGCTCACATAGATTCTGAGATTTCCGTAACAATTAATAGCTTTGTGCAGGTAAACAATGATGTACCCAGATAAATAGCGACAATCAGTTACAGTAAACAAGTTGGCGAGACTATCTCACATGTCGAGAGTCGCGGCTGGTGGGTGCATTGTTACCACCCCGAGAACGACGAGAACTGTTTATCATCGTCGTGCAAAACCCAACACGCATTGCGTTTCTTTTCAGCTAGGATTACACCTAATGAGAATAAAATCTTATTTTATTGATTTCACCTTTAAAAACAGGGATTGATGCCGGAGATTGCGTTTATTTCTTTATTTACGTTTGTGCTGTACAGATACGTGTCTATATAATTTGTGATAAACAACCAAAATTGTGTTTTGAATCATACGTCAGCACTTCATACTTAATTATAAGGGTTTTAAGAGTATTCCTACTTCATATTTCACAAAATGCCCAGGGAACTCTGTTCACAGTTCACTTATGCATGAAGTCCAGTTTCGCTTAATTGTGATTTTATCGACACCATGGCCGTGTTATGTAAGAATTATTCATTTAATTAGTCCCTCAAGTTTCATTATCAAACGGCCTAATATATCATACTTTGAAATTATGTTCAAAGAGATAAACCAAACTCAAACTGCGCAAACCTAAGGGTCACAAATGAATACC